TTACAGACACATTTTGCATTAATATTAGCCCCATTTTTCATGAATTCCCAGGCAACTTCAGAATAAAGGCCTGGGTTTCATTAAGAATGAGAATATTATAGTCATCAAAACAATTAAATGTAGCAACATTAAATTGTTTCTTTTTCTTTCTATGGGATTTTCTAGTAGTCATTCCAAAGTACCACAATCAAGAGGATCTCACTGTAGAAAGCATAGGATATAGTTATGTATCTGGATTCTAGATCCTGTCTACCTAAGTTCAATTCTGGTTATTTTACTACTATCTCCATCTGCAAAAAGGAGGACAACAGTGTCGAAGTTTGTCAAGTTGCTATAAAAGATACTCATACAAAGTTATTATATACCCCAATTTAATGCTGGATATTGTTATTGTTATTATCTTGAAGAGAGATACTTGTGGAGTGGAGGATTTGGAACTTGATTTGTTATATTTGGGTATGCTGTAAATTGCCACGAACAAATATTACTAATCACATCCCACCAGTGAAATGACTCAAGCAAGGGGAGACCAAGTGACTAATATGGGTCTCTCCACTAAATTAAGATGAAATTAAAATTCAACAAACCATCATTAAGCTTTCTTATTTTGGGCTTATTGCAAGGGTTTATTCATTACAAACCTCAACACCTGTAATGGAGGCATAGCTGGACTCCTCTACTGGGACCCAAATGCTTCACTTCACCTTGGTGTTCAGAAGATCACTAATCCATATTTTCTTGCACATATGGGGCTGTTATCTGGCATTAGAGATTTTTCCTAATTTTGTAGACAGAAAAACATAATTGCAAAGATGACACAGGCTCCATGGCTTAGCTCTGGTGATGAAACCAGAGGGTGGGGCCAATGTTACAAAGAAGCACTGATTCCTCCCACTGCAGTCCTGTACCCCAGAGTTTTGCTCCTTAGATTCTTCACTGCCCTGCTGCCCTTATAGGTAGAAAAGAAAATGTTTAGTACCTACATCTGTCAATTTCAACAGTTCTCCTTCACCTTCTAGTGGTTATAAAGTAGATTCATATAGGTCTTAGAAGCAGAGCAAACACGAATTTTATTACAAAGCAAATGGATCCATACATAACATCATAATAAATTTCACTTATCTCTCGAAGCTATAAGTTGCAGCACCGAATGTGATGATCACATATTTTTCATAGGAATTAAATTTTTACCAAGAAAAATAATGGTCATATTTTGGACTCTTTTTTCTTTTCAGTACTGGGGATTTATTCCAGGACCTCAGTCATGCTTAGCAAGTGCTCTTTCCACCGACTGAAGTGCTAGCCCTCAAGTTTAGAATTCTTAGGAGTAAGAAGTAACTTTTATTAATAAACTAACTTTTAATTAATTGTCTTCTGATCTCAGTGTCAAGAAGTTTTAAAGCAAAAGTTTCTCTTTGAACCTTTCCTTATTAATATGGTAAGGCATTAAGCTCTATAAGTATAAAGTCATTTTCTTCTCTTCTCATTGCCCTTAAAAAGTTTTACAGATATAAAGCTGATCAATTCTAGTAGAAATGGTTGAAAGTTCATTGGTTATTTAAATTATCTTTGTTTCTTTCTAAAATATAAACTTTGGAGAAAACCTATTTTTAAAATGACTTTCAATAAACCTAATAAAACACTCCAGGGCCAGGGATTTAGCTCAGTGGCGCCATGCATACCTCACCAGCACAAGGTCCTGAGTTCAATCTCCTAGTATGAAAAAACAAAACAAAACAAAACAAAAAACACTCTACCATACCATTTACAATTTTAAAAGCCAAAACTAGATCTCTATCTACTAAACATGTTTCCTTTATGGCTCACTTCCCCAGAATAAGGACTTCACTACTTCTTCCAGAGAATAGCTAAGAAATTGCAAAAGTCAGATGGTATATTTTGATAACAAATCCACACTCCATCAAACTAGACCAAGCAGAATCCTCATCCCACAAAACATGCAAAGAAAATATGTCTTCTGCAAAACATTCTACCAAGAAAATAGCTTCCTATGAGCATGTTCATCAATATTTGCAACAAAATTTTAAATATTTTTAAAAGACACTTAAATAATAGTACACAAAACTGGACAAGCAAAAAGTCCAGGTTTATATGTTTGCCAAGACACTTGTAAAGAAAGTACTTTTCTTAGTCCTTTCAGATTTTAATTCTTTTTTTGTAAAACTAAATTCCAGATGACATCTGAGTTCCCTTTCAAATACACAATTGTGGATAGCTTACTCTGAGATAATGATATTTAAGGGCATACGAAGTTCACAAAGCATTCACATCAGCCATTTCACTTGATCGTATAAGAAAGACTTGATTTTAATTTTCAGGGTATGATGGAATCAGTTACTGCTCCTTAATTTTCTCAACATGTGTGCCCTTTCTGATACACAATAGGACTCACCCCAGACAATAAGATCTATAGCATTAACTAGAAAGAAGTTTAGAGTGCCCTCAAGCTATCTGAAGGTTGATAGACCGCTAGGGCTTGTGTAAAATTGGGTCATTTTTAGAGCTCTTCTTTGCAAAATATTTCTATAAAAATTGGAAACTGAGATGATAAATGAGGACCCCATTCCTAAAAAGAAACACACTTAATCCTGAGTGGAATTTCGAGTATTTCTGATGTCTTTCACCTAACTTCAGGAAAACATAAAAATCCTTCCTCAAAAATAGGCCTACCATGCTACAGTCAATGAAATCCAATAAAAATGCCATTTTATTTCATCTTTGCAACAATCCTGTGCAGTAGGTAAGGCCTAGAAAGTCTGTCCCAATCAAGTCCCCAATTATTGTTCACTTCAAAGGCCAATGATTTTCTGATCATTGAAATCCACGTTATCTAATACACTTATTTTAGCCATGTAGTCTAACCTCTTGCCGACCTTGTTCATCATTAAAGCCATCATGAAAAGGAAGAGAAAGAGGAATATTATACTGCTCAATTATGCTCCCTTTGCTTTCTTGCCTTCCTTTCTCCTCCCTCCCACCCACTGTCCACACTCCTCTGGAGGCTCAAAACAAAACAAAAACAAACAAACAGGAAAACAGGCAAAAGATGGATACTAAGAAAAGGAGGAAAAACAAGGTGCATTCATACTGTAACCTGATAACCTCCAGCTAGCTGTAAAATGTCTTAAATAAGTCCATATTTAAAACAGAGAATATTGCAAAATAAGAACTGACAGCATTTGTCAGTCTGAGCTGTCATTCATACCAACAGTTTGTATGGCTATAATAGACTCAGAAGTGATGATTAGTGCAAAAAGACCTGCTTTTATTTTGATACGAGTGAGCTCTACTCCATTCTATTTATTCAAGTTTGATAATTCACATAGAGCATAAAAAATTATCTATGTGAAATAGGAAGAAAAGGGCTAAAGGTGTAGGGAAAATGGGAAGGGTAGGGGAAAGGTAATAAGGGAAAAGAAAAAAATAGGAGAAAATGAAACAATGGAAATAAAGTGTTTCATTAAATGGGGAGGGGAGGAAGGGGTGAAGGGAGGGCAGGGACAAGGGGAAAAAATGAGAACCAAGACCTGTCATGTAAAGGTACAAGATCCCAATAATGAATGTAATTCTACTGTATACCCTAAAGTTACCAATAAACTCAATTAATTTAAAAAAATTATCTAGCAGAATATATGACTAACCAGAGTAGCCCTCTTTCTGCCCACGCAAAAAAAGCAAAGCATTATGTATAATCTAGAAGCAGTATATTCTGGTCATAACATCTCATATTACAATGTTTGGTGATATGTGCTTTCATTATTATTATTGTTATTTGAGGTCCCAAAGGCACTCATTAGTGCAAAGTCATTTAAGGAAACCTTTAAAGGTTTCCTTTTCTTTCTCCAGTATGGAATATTTGCCTTCAAATATGGCTGGAAGTTGAAATAATTTTAATTTCTCCTACAAAGAAGAGAAAGAACACATGCCTTCCATCAGCTCATTGACCTCTTAACCTTTGTAAAAACATGAATTGTTAAATACATATCTAATGAAAAGTAATTTCCATATTTTGGTTAGAAACATGGTAGTGGGGATAATTTTGAATACAAATGAAACAATTGCTAAGCATGACAGTGAGTCAATTAAGATGGGAGTATTCATAATGCCAACCTAATAGATAATTTAAATTTTTTTTCAATTAATATTGTGCAAATTCACAGCTGTGACTTTCAAAATCAAATTATCTTTTTTCAATCTCTAATTTAAGGGCTTTAAATATTAGTATCTGAGATTATATGATACTACACACCACCTTAAACTCTGATTTGAAGTTATTGTTTTAATTTTTAAAAAGCCAAGATAGTATTCCTGCCTCTTAGTAGCCAGTTTAAACAATTTGAAAAACAAACCCTCAGTCATTTTCTATCCAGATTTCTCTATCCATCCAATCTGTATACGGCCATCTCCAATAGCAAATGGAGAAGTAGGCTGGGATAAACAAGCTCATGCACATTTTAAAACAATTAGACTAATCAGGAGTTTATGAATATAGTGCCCTTTCACTTCATTAGAAATCCAAATATGTCAAGACAAGAGGCTTTCACTACTTTTCCACTTACACTTCTTACTTATAAAGATCTCTATTTCAGTGAAGAAATAGTTATAAAACTGTAATTTAGGATAAAAATCCAAACATAATTATATTAATCTTACGTATAGTTCACCTTTAACTGACCTCACAGAGTAGCAAAACGAAAAATATTAAAACCCTGGAATTATTCAACTCTTAAAAAAACCTAAACATAGAGATGCTTCACCATTTCCCCTTCTGAGGCACTGTATTTTTCATGAACAGCTGGCAGCTAAGTATCTCACAAACGCATTCCATGGTAAGTTTACACTTACTTGCTTTAGACTCTTGAATGCCACCTTCAAAATCCTGTGAGAAGGCATTTTTCTCAGGCACAAGCATGCACTGAAGCTGCCACATTAATTTAATGCAGCCACAATCCAGTGAGTAAACCAAATATAGAACTTACCTTATTATAAATAAGTGGCAAATTGCAGGCACTTCTCAGCTTGAAGCTATCTAGCATAGCTGTTTAGAATGAACAAAACCATCTTTCACTCCAATTAGAGAACTGCATATCCAGACTTGGCTTTTTTACTGAATAAGCAGCAAGCGCGTCTGTTCACCTCCACGGGTGAGCAACAGCCTCTCTCCACGGAGCACTTGCTGCTCTGAACTGCAGCGACTTAGAATGAAAGTAAGAGGAACCCGTGATGTTTAAATACCATTGCTCCAGCTTCACAGGATATGACTCAACTCTCAAACCGGTAGGGTTAGAGTTTCCCTTGGCAAAACTGTTAGTTTGATTACATAACAAACATCATATTTGGGATCCTACAATGTTTACACACTAAATACTAAAAACTTTTCGCATGCTCAATCAAGCATGCACTTTTAGTAGTCAATCTCTTCTCTGTGGCAAAAGCCACAATCTGCAATGAGAATAATTAATGCCGAACAAAGAAACTACTCTGCTTGCTCTCGCAGTGAATTAATTTGTTATTAAAGGTGTGTGACTTGCCAACATCTCCCTGACAGACATAAAAAAGAGGCACGCTAAAGTCACTAGTGTTTCCATCAGTGCAAAAACAATGTGTGGAATAAAGCTCTGTTTTAATATGCAAGACATGGCAATTCTACACAACAATAGAATTCCTTCGCTAAATAGATCATTGTGTCTGCCCAAACTGTTTCCCAGAGAAACTCTGTCCCACGAGGAGGTCATTACCTTGTGATGCTAGCTCTGCCTACCTTCCCAACGTCAAGATCTTCTTTATCTGTTTTGTGAACAGTTCTAAGGGAAAATGACTACTGACACAACTAGTGCCTCTAGTAAATGTGGCAATTTTCTGTGCTTTCTTCACCTCTTAACTCTGAGCTACATTAGTCTTGATCACCCTTTGAAGTACTGTATTTGAACATCTCAGTCCATAAATAGTGTATATAGTCTCAGATCCTCACAGTCTACTAGGTAAATTCAATTAGCATCACTATCATAAAGGAAAAAAAGCTGAAAGAAAGCATGTTGATAACAGTAAATAAGCAGAAACCAGAGCAGGGCCATTAACTGCAGCTACAGTGTAAGGTGATCTGCATAGGTTAGTATAAGCATTTTAGTAGTCACATTAAAAGGGTAAAAGAGAAACACATAAAATTGATTTTAGTAATAAATATTATAGTATATGTAAATATAACTTCAGCGTTAATATAAGTATTAATACTTTGCCATTTTGTACTAGTTTTATAGTTCACTACATACTTTACACTTGTGTTAAGTTCCAACTGAATAGCTACATTCAAGCCACACTAGCCAAAAGCTACTTGCTGCCATATTGGATAATATAGGGCCAGAGTTTAATGTTTGTTCTCACTCTTCAGATTGTAATTCAAATATTCTTTCTTCAGAAAGCCCTTCCCTGAACACCTTTCCTGCACTGACTTTCTTGAATTTCTTTCCATCTCATCTTTTATTTCTTTCATAATACAATTCCTTCATGATACAATCTGGAATAATCTTTATTCAGTTATTTGCTTATATGTCACTTAAATAATATAAGTAACTCGAGGGCAACGATCTTGTTGTATTCAATAATCTATCTCCAGCTACCGGCATGGTGAGCAAAATTTAATAACCATTGTTTAATAAAGAAATAAATTGTGTAATTTCTGCTATGGTTTGCCAGGACAAAACACGTTTGTTTGCATCACTGAATTTTCAGCCAATATAGTAAACAATCTTTTTCTGAAACAAAAACTTGCCTCTTTTAAATAATATCAATGATCCTGTTTCTAACGTGCTTCGATATACAATGTCATGTAGAAGCAAACTTGTATCATTACTCTGCCAAAGATTTAGAGAGATGCTTAGATTACAGACTTTAGTCTCTGTGACATAAATCCAGATACCACTAGGATACCTATTATCCCTTATTCTGAGACACATCACACCAGTGTACACCATTCACAGAGTCACAGTGCTAGAGTCACAGGTGGGCCCCACGCAGAGCAGGGAGAGGTGAACCCCCCCTTGGGCTGCTATTGGGAAAGAGGCTAAGTTTGTAGAATGTTAAGTCTGAAAATGTCGGTCGTCTTATTTGCTGCCACATAATGTGATGTTTTCTGAAAATGAAGCTGGTCAAGAGAAAAACAAAGCCAAAGATATGAAAAAGCAGGTTCCTGGCAGCGCTATTATAATCCCCGGATCTCATTATGCCTTGTGATGCCTGGCTTCAGTGGCAATGATGGATACTGTCTAATAGTGAAACATTGGAAACTGCATACAGCTGTGAACACTGGAAGAGTTAAAAGAAAACAATGGGTTAACCATACTAGGGAAACTGGGGAGATTTGTTTGTGTTTTAAAAGAATCAGGCTATCAAGGCAACTGATAAGCAAAGATCTCTAAAAGATATTAAATGGAAATACCATGTTGCAGAAAAATGTATCATCCCAGTTACGAGTGCGTGGGTTTTTATATGCTATTTCATAGAAAGGGTCTTGTGGGGTGCTGCGTAACAGCTGTGGACAGGTAGTTATGCCTAAGGAAGAGAGCCCATCAATTTGCTCAGTTGATTATCCATTGCATAAATCTTATGAAATGAATTCATATATTCCTTAGGTAACTTGCAAAGAATGTTACTTTAAAAATAATTTGACGGATTCATAGGAAAATGGATACATATTGAAGATATACTCCTAAGTGAAATAAATAAGTCCCACATGTGTAAATACCAAATAGTTTCCCTGGTGTGAATATTCTGCAACAATGCATAAGATTCTAATAAGATTACTGACATTTAGAAATGGGAGGAAAGGAGCTAAAGGTGTAGGGAAGGTGTGATACGTAGGGGAAGAACAAAAAGGGAAAAGAAAAAAATGTGAGAGAATGAAAAGATGAAAATAAAGTGTTTGTAGATGGGGAGGGGAGGAGGGGGTGAAGGGAGGGCAGAGGTAAGGGGAAAAAAATGAGAATCAAGACTTGCCATGTAAAGGTACATGATCCCAACAATGAATGTAACTGTACTGTATCCCTAAATGTACCAATAAACTCAATAAAAAAAAAAAATTTAAAAAAAAAAAAATAATAATTTGACGGGCCAGGGACTTAGCTCAATGGTTCCGGCACCTGCCTTGCAAGCGCAAGGACCTGAGTTCGATCCCCGGTACCAAAAATAATAATAATAATTTGATAGTTTGTATTTCCGTCTTATCCTAAGTGAACAGTTCTTCTTCATTATCTTTTCAAAACAATGTCACAGAAATAAAAGTGCTCTTCCCTGGCCCAGTCTCCATTCTTTACCAGCCCTGATTTATGTTTTCTGATTTCCCAGTCTGGTTAAAGGATATTGCAAAGATGGAACAGAGACAAAGACAGGATAGAGAGCAGCAGAAACAGACAGCAAGCTGCATTAGAATCTCCAGTGCGGCTCCTGCTATTGGTCAAGGTCTGCTTTTTTCCTCCTGGCCTCCTGCACGATCTGTTACTGGCTTAATAAAACATAGCTTGGATTTACTCAGATGCAATGTATCAATAGACTAATATTTATGATAATATGCCTCATATCATATTAATTTAGTTAGCCTTGGGTTAAAATAATCTTCTTATTTACACCTCATGGGAAATTTTCCGGTTTCTGAATTGGGTACAATAATTGCTTTCTCAATTAACTTGGAATCTGAAACTTGGTTGTTTTTGTGGTTTGCTCACACCCTTAACTATCGTTACATTACTTTAGGCACAGTCATAATATCTTCTGCTTTCTGTTCTCTCCTTAAGAATCACACAGAAAAAGAACTCTGAGTCTGAGGCAGGAGCAGAACCCTTCTGACTTTTGACGTGGCTAACCAGGATTTGAATGTACATGGGGATGTCAGATCGATGCTGTTGCTGCTGTCTTGTTCTTACAGCGTACTTATCCTAGTAGCTCTAACCGTCCTCATAATCTGCTGATATTCTCCTTCCATTCTCTTTGCCTCCACTTAAATCTTATCAGAATGCCCAATTTGCTTTAGGCTTTCTGAAAGAAATAAAACCTTACAGATACATTTGAAACTTGCATATATCCCTGTCTATAGAATTCTCCTCCTCTCTTCCAGGGTAAATACTCTCCTGTGTTAAAATATATCATTTTCAGAGATTTTTTCAATGCTTTTTCTAGATATGTGTGTATCTATACACAAGAATCAATTTGCATGTCTGAAGCTTTATAAAATGGTATCAGTCTGAAGATCCAGTAAATCCTGGCTTTTTTGGGGGAGGGAGGTGTTTGTTTTTTTGTTTTTGCTTAGCACTCTCTTGAGATTAGCATATAATTCTATATAGCTTTTTTCATCTTGTATAAAATTACAATTCATGTACCCATTCTCGTATCAGTGGACATTTAGGTTGTCTCTTATCTATTGGTATTGTCAAAGTATTCTACTCTTGTACATGTGCAACAATTTCTCTGAAGATGAATAATTAGGAATGGAATTGTGGGATCATAGGACATGCACAACCTCTTTTCTAGATACTACCAAACTACATCTCAACATAATTAGACCAGTTTGCAATTCAGCCAGCGGTATCTGAGAATCCTTGCTGTGCCAGAATTTGGCAAATCATCTCCACAATGTTGATATGTCTGATGGTGAAATATCAAGAGTCTTGATATCCCAGACTGGAGATTGTGATTGGCTTTTAGTAAAGAATTCAGTGTATTAATCTGGATCTCCCCGATCACTAACTGAAGTTGAGCATTTTCCACTTTATTGGCTTTTTCTCCTTATGGGGTAGTTTTTATTTCCCATATTTGGGGGAGATCTTATTGAAGTTATAAAAACAGCTTCAGTTTAGATATAACTTTTGTTTTAACATTCTTTATAATGTCATTTCCTTTTTTTTTTTTCTGCCCATGCCAGGGGTTGAACTCAGGATCTCAGACATACTAGGTAAGCACTCTACCACTAAGCCACAGCCCTAAAACTTTGGTTTTTCTCAGTTAGTTACCAATGTTTCCTGCATTAAAATATGAAAAATACTTTTAAGAAATTATTCTTAAAGCATTACCAGCAGTATCTGATTGCATGTCTAAAGGGGAACTGAGATTTCCTGCTTCTTCTGATTTTCCACTTCCATCACGTACTGAATATCTAATATGCTCCCTACACGGTGCTCCAGGGCGCAGATGTGCAGC